TTCACGGTCGTATAGCTTTTGATCTATAGACTAATAATCGAACGATAAGAACGATAAGGATAATGCAATACGGCGACGCCAGTAAATATTCGTTAATCCAGAACAAATTTTGGATGACGCTATTCACACAATATGTATAGTGTAATTAGCTAATCATATATGAAATACCACCACCAATCATAATTTAGGACGCATATCAGGTTCTAAAAGCCACATGTTTCTATTTTCCGGCGATTTGCTGAAAATAATCGACGTTTAGTTATTTCAGGAATAATTAGAGCACGTATCAGCTGGTTAGGGACTCACGTGCTCGCTTGTAGATAATATATTTGCATACGGATTCAGCAATGTTAATTATAAGAATCAATTATTTTCACTAACGCGTTTTCTGAGTAAACATTTTATTTTTAAATGGTTCATGTTAATTGTCTTTATTTTTAATATGACGGTTACATTTAGGGTTTCATCAAGACGAGAAGAAAATCTCTCGAAATTTTGAAAGCAAATTTTTTTCATTGACTAAAATTCAAAACAACTTTTCTTAAAATGCTTTGAACATATTTTAAAAAAATTTCCGGACTTAAATTTTACTTTATCTGATCTTTCAATATTCATAAACCATTTATCTAACCTAAAAACTGAAAAAAATTATAATTATATAAATAACATAAACTGTTTTCATTAAAACAGTAGTTAAATTATTCTATAATCTAAAAATAATTGTTAAATACGGATCTGTTGTTTAACTTCTTTTGTGTTAAACTTACTTATGAGAGGTTTCCCGGAATTATTTCCATAGTAACATTAAACAGGATTTAACCATTGTTCAAAAAGTCTTTAGAAATCAAAACAACGTTCCAAAACTCACAATAACTTTGTAATTCGCACAAAAATTGCTATAGAATGACAACAGATGTCAAATGTCACAAAATTATTAATGCATGGGTGCTCCTCCTCCCCCTAACATTTACGCTATGATAAACGTTTTCGCTTGCCAGCAAAGCTTCCATTTTCAATTCTTTGCCTATACTTAGTAAAACCAGAGACAATAGAGACGTGTAACTTAATAGAAAAATTTGTTCGGAAGTCCAATTAAATTACATATATGACTTTCTTTCTTTTTTACATTGATTTGTACATATATTTATCTCTCTTCAATTAAACTCCAACCAGTACAAGAGGTCGCTGATGTAGCTGGTTTTTTGACGTTGTCGACGTGTGACATATGGATTAGAACTTAAAATGACAATGTTTTGAATAGACCTTATTACTCGGAGGTTCCGATAAAGAGGAAGTAGATGTACTAAAAGAACGACATCTAGTAAAAAGAGCAAGACGAAGTACTTTCTAAACGTAGCACTTGTTGTTTGTTTTTCTATACCTAAGAAAAATTCAATTTATAGAAAAAGAGTTTGTTATATTATTTTCCAAGTTTAAATATTAATAATCACTAGAATTTTTTAACGAAATTTACAAGAGTAATAAAAACTATGTTCACTGCATATATTAAACTATAATTAAAAAAACTTCTTTCATTGAAATTATTTGTTTAATAAAAAAAACTTGATGTTATTGGAAGCTTTTACATTTTTTAATATGTGTATATAGTGAAAAAATAGTTTTTATTCCTCCTGTAAATTTGTATAGAAAAACTATTTCTGAATCCATTTTTGAATTTTTCGCCCTACAACATTTTTAAATTTTCCCACTATTTATGACTGGATACGCACAGCTAGAGTGCGTTTAGAAATTCGCACGGCGCGTCTGGACCCTATTCTAATGTATGTGGTCAGACGTGCCGTGCGGCATAAAGTATAAAATAAATTAGACTATCGTCACACTATTTAAGCAGTGGCAAAAGACCTGGGATAGAGGTATTGTTTAAATTTTACGATTTATAAATAATTAAATTTGTGTATATTTTCCAGAATCTTATAACTCATATTAGTTGTCTTAAAGTTTATACGTTCGGAGATTTTCGGTTTAATAACACAAAGTTTCTGCTCATTGATCTTAAATATCCATCCATCCATCAGCTTTAAATCGCGTGGTTAACTTTTTTGCACAAGATTCTCTACTCTAGCGTGATAAATGTTTATCCATTATACTTAACAAAATTAACGAATATACTCACCACTCAATTTCATCTTAGAACGAGGAGAAATGTCAAAGGAAATAGGATTAACGAGTTTTTGATCATAATATATGTAGGTCGCTGCGTCCTTTTTGCGAATTTGGGATTTGGCTGTTTAATAAATATTTCCAGTATCGTCATAATGATATGGTTAAAACAGAGGGTACTTTAAACGGAGCTGGTAATGGTTATTGATTAAAACGCTTACGCGTAAAGCGCCAACCATGAATGGAGCACAACGCCGCAATATTAATCTAATAGAGTCGGAATAAAATAACAATTTTCCAATAAATATGAGCTGAACGGTATTTAATTATACCATGTCAGTAATAGAGTGCTTGGGTTTTATGCTAGCCACGTAATGATGTAATGAATGATAAATAGCTAAGGGCCGATTCCACCGTTGTGTTAAACGGAGATTAAAATGACATTGTTAATGTAAAAATGTCATTTTAAACTTCGTTTAACACAATAGTGGAATCTTTCCTAAGTCATTTTAACCAAAAAAATGGACAATCTGCAAAAATTTCTGTTATCTTGATTTTTGTATACACCTCTGTTCTGTATCTGTAACGTGTGGAGGGTGGGTTATCCCCACGGCACTTAGGCCTCATTAGGCCCATTGTGCATCCTCCTAAGATGCTAGGCACCTTCTAACTCGTGCGCCAACTTACAGCTTTAATGTAGTTGACAAAGTCATCAAGAGGTACTTCTCTTATATCAGCCGGTGTTAGCCGATACTCGCCGAACACAAATCTTCTAATAAATGAGAGGAGCATCTAGCAATCGTAAAGGATATGCTCGATGGTCTCATCTTCTTGTTCGTATCCTCTGTAGAGTGCGGATTCTGACAGCCCCATGATATGAATACTTGGCAATACTTGTCTAGTCAAAGTCAAGTATTTGTTTGCTACAGTGTTGTTAAGATAACTTAAGAGCTCTCTGGCAACTCTACAGTTTCTTGTTTCATCCCATATTTCTTGAATTTCACAAGGAAATGTTCTTTAATTAGGTCTGTCACTACAGATTTTGACAGGCCAATAGAAGGGCCAGGTACAAAAAGTATTTGGTTGGCTGCTTTCTTGGCTAGTGAATCAGCAAGACGGTTGGTTACCTTTCGATGTGGCGTGACCTTTGATCCATATTAAAGTGACCACATTCTTGATGGATACTTCGGCTAAAGCTTCGTGACATTCTAGTACTAACCCTGAGTAAATTCGTGGCCTGTTCAGGGTGAGTAGTGCTTGTCTGCTATCTGTATAGATGAGCATGTTTCTTCCAGTGATATTGTTTCTGGTTATTTCTTTTGCTGCTATGAGAATCCCCGTTAGCTATGTTTGAACTACACTGGCACTATTGCTTACAGCCCATTTTATGTTTAGGTTTAAGAATCTGGAGTATATTTCACATCCTGAGACTTGTTTTGTTTTAGAACCGTCGGTGTAGATATGAATTGTACCTGCCACTTCTGGCTCTTCTATTTGTTCTATTATAACTTTATATGGCTTATGGAAGATATATCTCGGTGAAATGGAGGTAATGTTCGCTTGAAGCAGTGAGAGCGAATCGAGCGCCTCCTGCCAAAAGCGACATCTCGCCTTACCAGATCCTACATAAGGTTCTATTCTAACCGTGTGGAGGCATGTTATTGCAACCTCCTTGATATAAATATCAAGGGGAGTGAGACTAAGAATGACTTCCATGTCTCTGGTCGATGTTGGTTTCATGGCTCTTGTTATGTTCAGATATGCTGTCTTTGAATTTGTTCTAGTTTACGGATAGCTATTAATTTTTGGGTTTTCGGTACCCAGACAACTGCACCGTATGTTAGCATAGGTCTTATGATAGCCGTATAAGTCCATGCGACGACTCGGGGGGAGAAACCCCAGGTGCGCCCCACGGTTCGGCGGCATTGTTCATAAGCAATGTATGCTCTTTTAACTCTTTTTTCTAAATGAGAGTTCCATGTTAACTTGCTATCAAAGGTGAGACCTGGGTACTTCACCTGTGTTGCAAAGTTTAGTTTGGTGTTTAGGAGTTCTGGAGGTTTTAATTCCATTTTTATCCTTGTCCCTGTGAAAAGGACCATTTCTGTCTTCTTAGGATTAATAGACAGTGAATGGTCCTTGCACCATTGTTCTATAATTTTCAGAGCTACTTGCATTCTTTCGCAGAGTATGTTCTCAAAGATCCCTGTTCACAGAATGCTCAGGTCATCTGCATATATGCTCATAAATCTACAACACATTTCTGTTATCTTGATTTTTATGTACGCTTCTGTTATGGTGTTCTAAAAATCGTGTTAAGTCTTAAAGAGTCTAGAATGCCAGCGTCCACTTTGTCTCTCGAGCTTTCAGCATGCGCGTATTAAACTTGGTGTTGCTGATAGTCTTGTTGTTGCCAGTTTGTTTTGGTTTGTACTTAACCTAACCATATTTACAATTTTGTATTTGTATGTGATATTTTTATCACCAATTTTTTAGTATGATAGTTTTAAAACGAAATGAAACTATTTCACGAATCTATAAATTCGCCGTTTTACGGTTTAAAAACGTAAAGTAGTCGATCTTCCAAAATCAGGTCAGTCGCGTCATCAATATTTTTTGGAGTGGACAGAGAAATGGAGCCTTTATAGCACTACTTTATACGTTAACTTTCTATTATGTCTCCCTCCTAATTTCAAATGCAATTCATCATTTTGGTTATTTTAAAGATTTAATCCTTGATCCAATAAGGTTCTGCTAAATGAAGAAATAAAAATTGAAGTAGTAAAGCAAGTATGAAACTTAAAACGATTCTCTTCATACCGTAAAAGGTATTATAAAATTTTCATAAATAGTATAATAAAAATATTTTTTTATTGCAGAGAGGGCTGGTGAAGGCAGATAGAAGATGATAGATCCATCTTCATCTGAAGAGGACAGTGAAGAAGAACATGGAACCGGTCACCATGTTGGGCATCATCCTCAATCGCATCACCATCACCATCATTCGACAAGCCATTCACATGTAAGTTTAAAATATAAAAATTTCATGTTTATTAGTTTTTATTTTTATATTTACATGGTACTAACACAATTATTAAAGAATACTGGAGAAAAGTTAAATGCAAAGCAATAAAACATCTCTGTGAATATTAATATTAATAGAAAATAGTTAAATGGTTTATTAATATCAAAATTACATATCCAATACAAACAAACTGTTTTCTGAGTGTAATGTAACCTATACTGTAAAATAATGCCTTCGTATTTGTAAAAAAAAAACAATAATGCTTGTACGGTCATATTTTAATATACAAATAATATATAAACGTATTTGATCCTTCAAAAGATTTATAACAAATCAAAGAAAATTTTTACACATGAAAACACAGCTATTTTCTCTAAATTATTATACTTTTAGGAACTATTTTAATACAATGTAAGCGCTATCTCCAGTTTATTAACCATAATACTAATTAATTAGAATACAAATTTAAGATCAAGATAAAAGCAAATCCTTAAAATTTCAGCTCTACGTGAATTCACGAAGAGCTTATATAATAAAATGCCTGATAATAATTCAAAGACGAAGTCGAGCAAAAACGCAAGAACTTAATTTAGCAGAATACGCAAACTTCAGAAACATGAAACGGTTTAACATACTGACTATAAAAGTAATGAGTTCCATGTTTTGTGTTTCTTGATATTAAGTTTTTGCCGAAACGTTTTTGATATTTTGCAGTAAAATTTAAGTTGGAATCTTAATTTGAGTGGTATGAGACAGTTCATAGGGGGGACGTAATTTCACATAGGTACTTTTTATCTCTTCCCACTTTGCCCCAAGCTACCTTTAAGCCAAAATTTTCAATGACACTAAAAATATTTACTAAATATCGCATTTTTTTGAATAATTCAATGATAAAAAAAGTTACAAATTTTTATAAAATATTTGATTAACTACGACTACGAAAATATATGTGGAATTACGTCCCCCTATCCACTGTTTCATGCCCCAAAAATTCAAGATTCCAACTTAAATTGTACCAAAAATAAAGTAAATAAGAAAGAGGACCCTAATTTAGAGACCGCCTGCATAAAAAACTACAGTAGAATTCAGTAGAATTCAACTGCTTACTGATAGCTCAGTATTTATAGAGTCGGCTTCAGATCCTAGATCAACTATGTGCATTTTTAATTAATTTGCACGACTCGTTGTAGATTTGATGGGTGCCATATTAGCATTAGTAATTTAATTCAGATTATAAATCGCCGTGCGTTACCGTTACGATGACGGTGGATGTTTTCCAGGTTTTCCTTACCTGTAAGTCAAATAGCATCATAAATCATCTGCAAGTCGCCCCAGAGCGCTAAGGCAAATAATAATAATAATAGCCGTTCCTTCCCCTGACTAGCTCAGTCAGCTTTTGGGGTTAAAATTCACTCGTAAAGGGGTGGACATGAAAAAAAAATATATAAGCTAATTAACTGTTTCTTATAAATGTATTAGAAATTATTGTTTGGTTCTACTAAGACAGTGGTATTTATTGATTCTTCCTTATTTAAATAATGATGTATACTCATTGTTCGATTGTTAACAATTGAAATATAAGATTATTGACCTGGAGGTTGTGATTCTATTTATAATTGCTTTATGAATGAATGTATAGCAAGTACCGAATTCAGATATACTCATCAGTAAATCCAGTCCAAATATAAACACAGACTGAACCCACGGACAAGTTTAACTGACATCAGTTAAATTATCAGTAAAAAAAAAGTATTTTCCATCTTCAATGCTCCAATAATTTGTTCTATACATATTAAAGCATTTGGCTACCCAAACATTTTCTAATTCCACTCCAACCATTATTGAATCTGAAATAAATATGATAGTTTTAAATTAATTATCGAATAAATACAACGATGAGTCAGTAGTTGCACAAATCACTATTTTAACTACTAGTTTGTATTTAATGTCATGTAAATAGTATTTATTAATCCATCTATAATAGCAGGTACACATAAAATAAGAGTGATCTACAACATTTTTTTATAAAGTAGATCTCCAGAACTCCTAAACACAAAATTAAACTTTGCAACAGTACTGAAGTGATGTACCTAGTTCTCACCTTTGACAGCAAGTTAACATAGAATTCACTATTAAAAAACAGAATTAAAAGAGCATACATTGCTTATAAACAATGCCGCCGAACCGTTGGGCGCAGCTGGGGTTTCTCCCCAAGATTCGTCGCATGGACTTACACAGCCATCATAAAACCTATACTAACATATGTTGCAGTTGTCTGGGTACTGAAAACCCAAAAATTGACAGCTATCCGCAAACTAGAACAAATTCAAAGAACAGCATGTTTCAACATAACAAGAGCCATAAAAACCACACCGACCAGAGCCGTGGAAGTCATTCTTAGTCTTACTCCCCTTGATATTTACATCAAGGAGGTTGCTCTGACGACATTAGGGAGTTTTAGCAAACAGCCGCTAACCATCCGCTAACGTTACCTTAGGGATAGACTGTAATCTACTCCGTCAATGTTTATGAAAAATGTCACAATCTAAGTTTAACGTAACGTTAGCGGAAATCTTACGTACATTTGCTAAAACTCTCTAATGACATGCTTCCGTCCGATTGGAAAAGAGCCTGATGTAGGATCTGGTGAGGCGAGACGTAGCTTTTGGCAGGACGCGCTCGATACGCTCCCACTGCTTCAGGTAAACATGGACTCCATCTTATCGAGATATATCTTTAACAGAACAAATAGAAGAGCCGGAAGTGGCAGGTACGATTCATATCGACGGTTCTAAAACAAAACGAAGCTCAGGATGTGGAATATACTTCAGATCCATAACCTAAACCTAGAGCAATAGTGCCAGTGTAGTTCAAACAGAGCTCACGGAGATTCTCATAGCAGCAAAAGAAATCACCAAAACCCATATCACTGAAAGAAACATGCTCATATATACAGTCATTTACATGAGCAATGAAAAACTATCGCGAGTTTATGTCTGATAGTACTTTCAAATAATTTGCATAATGTAAGTTCTCTGAAAAAAGTCCAGGCTGAATCAATTTTAAAATGCCGGAGTTTAACTATATTATTTCAAAACATTATTAAACATAATATCATTCCATAATGCAATTACATTTTTTTTTCCTCAATTTCAACATTTCCTGTAGTTATTTTAGTTTAAATGCGCCATATTACCATTAAAATGATTGTTTTGTTTCCATACAATAATCAACGTGAATAAAATTGAACAATGTGAATTTGGTTTACGAAATTATTAATAAATAATCGCCTTTGGTAAAACAATGTATGTAACAAAATTATTTTAAATATAATAACTTTAAATATCAATTTAGATATACAAACCTGACAAGTTTTTACTAGGGAAAGTAAGCAAAGCTAGTCCTATCTATATCTATTAGTATGCATATATTAAACTGATTAGAATCTAGAAGTAATCTGCTTCTTTGTTGGATTGGACTTAAGACTTCATCAGAAGATGTTGAACAATTTTATCCAAAACTTTCAATTCATTGTAGAGTTTTTGTGGCAAAATTAATAAAGGAAGGGATGTTCATGAAATGTTTATCAGTACAAGCGATAATAACAAATACAATTATTATCTATTAATTTATAAAAGGGCTAGAGTATATTGAAAATCTGTTAAGTTGTATTATATAAATCATTAATCATTACAAAAGTAACAAAAATATAATAAAAAATATATTTCTAACTGAAAGCTGATTAACTTAGAAAGTTATTGTGCTTCGAGTTACCCTGACCATCTGATAGCCTAATATTTAATGGTATACAAGAAAATAAGTGCAATTATATTCAGCACGTGCGCTTAATCGGTCACAGATTAGGTTGGCTAGGTTTTGAAATAATTTATTCATAAATGTATTTTTATCATATATTTTCAGTCATGCAATGTTGACTCTAAACGTGCACAAGTGATCGATATAATACCTATAGGCGTGTACCTTACACATCGAAATCATAATGAATTTTTTGTCGCTTTTGTTTATCAACGTTAACGTAAACGGGTCGTTTTGTAAAACTAAATATTGATTGTTCACAATATAACACTTTCTCTAGGTTGTGCAGCAATAAATATTTATGCAAATTGTTATTGTTCTATTAAAGCATGTATTAAAAAATCAAAGGTTGTAGGTGTGTACACACTGATAGTTCAGAAATAAAACGCAGAAAGGTATTTTAAAGTGTGTAAGGTTTTTATAACCGTCAAGCGCTTTCGGCTTTTTAAGCCATCATCGGGACATCGTCAAAATTGTAAACAGTATAATGAAGAACATCAAATTAAAAGAGGTAAAGGACAAACGACATCTAATCAACTGACATCCCTCAAATAGGAGTTTTTCCAAAAATGTTAAATTTGTAACTCATTTTTTGTTCGTTTGTAGATGTCGTTTGTCCTTTACCTTTTTTAATTTGATGTTATTCTTTATAATGTTTACAATTTTGACGATGTCCCTTACACACTTTAAAATACCTTTCTGTGTTTTTTTTCTGATATATTAAAAAGTTTCTTATACTACCACAAACTGATTGAAACATTCTTTTCTGCTCGTACTTATTGTATCAAACATTATTCTTGAGTTATTTAAATTTGTTGTAAACATAAACTTCAACGGAAATCAGGAAATCCTAGTAGGTTCATTACCACCACGAGTTTTGGAAGCGTAAGCCTAGTTTATTAGTTTCACTCAGGCAGGGCGGTATCTGCAGTAAACTATTGATGATTAGTGCCAGTGGGGAAATACCTTAGATATCTGCAGCGTTAGTAGCGTATCATAGTTCGCAGGTGAAAATTAGGTCTCTATTAAATGGATTTTGTACTTGTTAAAGATAACTCAATTCCATTCATAGATTGCTTATCCATAACGTAAGTAAAAATCGACATTTCTTGAATTAGAAGAAGAAAACTTAACGGTCGCAGACTAGAAAGGATATTATACTTCTGTATCTGTAAAGTGGGGGAGGACCTGCCTCTCAACTTGTCATCGCTGAGAGGTGTCTAGAGACAATCATCATCCCAGCTCATCAAAGTCCTGCAGGTTATCACCTGCTTGTTGTTGCTGGGGGTGTCCAGGGATAGCCAGTCTCTCAGGTCTAAGTACTGTAGGTATTGTTGGACTGGGCCGTCGGTCTACCGGTCGAAAGACCGGTAGGCCCTCGTTCAAGCAGTGGACCTTCGTTTAGACAGTAGACTCTCGTTCAGGCATTGGACTCTCGTTCAGTCACTGAGCCCTCATTTAATCAGTGAGCCCTTAAGAACAACAAATGCAAAGAAACCCTCACAAAGAGGCCCTTTTTTCTTTTCCAGGAATCAGTCCATGGACAAAAATGGTGGGCCCTTCTCCGTACTGACCGGTAGGCCCTGTGGGTCCCAGTCTGACACTGACTGCAGGTTAATAACGTCGCCAAGACGTGTCTATGTCCCCACAGGATATTTTTATTTGACTTACTATTCCAGTTTGGGAATACCGTATCTAGGATGAGAAAGTTTTAAAACCATTTCAACATCCGGAAAATATAAAATATAGTGACTACAATTTAAATCAGTTGTACCTATCTTCAGTTCTCAAAGTACAATTCTATTCTATGAATTTTTCTTATCTCCATCTGTTGCTGCCCGAGTTCTATTAAGGGCGAATTAGGAAATTTTGAAGTAAATCACGTTAAATAATCTGGCACCTGAAGTTTCTATAAAATGGATATCGCATTGAAATCCGTCCGTATTTTTATGATTTAGCTTGTTCGGACCTACCATCTATTTGAGAAAAAGATTTATGTCGAGCTTCTAAAAGGCGTAACGCGGCGTTTCGAGAACGCCGAACTAAACTTAATTCCAGGGACTCGAGAAGTTGGAGAAACGCTGGAGCGGATGAGGTTGAAAAGTAAAATGTAGTTTGAATAAGAATTATTCGATTTTCAACTTTATTCTGCAAATTTTTCATTTTATTATTATTCTAATAAGCGAAAGGGATTAGAAACGAATATTTTTAAAGCTAAACAAGTTATTCCTGTATTAAATGTCTATTTAACCTTTAAATTTAATTAATCTATTACTGGTAAATAATAAAAACCGTGTTACAGAAACCTTAAGCGACTTCTTTGGCTAATACCGCAGCAGGCATTAAATTATATCAAAAAGAGTACAGCAGAGATATGAACTTATTTTCAACACTCTAACTTTAATTTTGTTTACCAAGGAACGTTATTCTTGGACAGGTTTCGTCCTAATTAGGACTCATCAGTAAGCAATAGCAATCTCCAATGGAGTCTGTAAATGTGTTAAACTTGCTCGCCACTCATGACTGGTGGGTGTGTGGGAATCCAAAGTCACAAGTAGATGGCGTTTGATAGGGACACAATTTTAGGGGTTTCTGTAAATCTGCGTGTGTGATACGATTCGATATATCTTAAAAATAGTATATTATATACCAAGTGTATCTTTTAATCCCGAGGGTGAAGATTGCTGCCCCAGCGTTAGAGAAAGCAAACAATCACCTGGATTGGATTGGATATTTTCTTTGTGCCAGGTATTACCCAGTTGTAAGCTAAATTAGATTGAACATTTTTACTCCCTTAGGAAAAAGTTTAATCATAAGGTAGTAAAGTGAAAATTTAGTGCCTAAAATGCGGGACTGAAGTACTAGTTATAGTCTACGCGGTGTAAAAATTTAACTATTTATGTAGTTGCCAAACTATTTTAAAATTATGAGGAAAATATAATTTTAGTCAGTGGCAGATAAGCTAATTGTCAGCGAAACTAACTTATTTTCACATACAACGACGTAGCTTTATATAAACCTATTAACCTAATAACATCAGTAATTTTATGTACATGCACATTTTACTAATTTTGTGCACAACGATTTCAATCTAAATGTAGACAAATGAATACTAGAGTAAGCTTTGAAACTAACATTTATGTTGTTTAGCAAGATTTGTATCGGGTGTCCAAATAAAAAAGGACACCGGCGTACAGTGGCGCGAAGCGCCACTCTGCCACCTAAATTGCTCTACACCTTATGGGGTTGGAGTGTCTGAAGTGAATTTTTTTTAAAATGTTTGTCTTGAAATTGCCTATCTATCCCTCATTTTCGATTTTCATTTTACGTCTTCATTTTTCCGGAATTCTGATTCAAAAATTGGGTTTTGTGCAAAAACGTAGATTTCCCGCACGAAAGTGATCCTACGGTACGCGAGATTGAAATTTTACCAAACTTTTTTATGGAAAAATGTTGGGCGGCGGTAGTTTGTATCTCAGAAAATACTCGTATGGGTCGTAGAATTCTTGTGAACGTTTTTTAAATAGAAAAGTGGTCAAGAGTTATTTTCAAGTTACTTACTTCGACACTAATGGCGTAATGCTTATGACCAATAAATAAACGAGTAACCGAAATTGATTAAACATACATTTTTAAAATATCGGCAAAGTTAACCCTCTGATTGAACATCAAAATGTTCGGAAAAATTTTTGGCAAAGATGTACCTTGTTAACCAGCAGCATTGATTAAACCCTATAATTAGAGGATATTTTTATAGTTGCTACTGTTATAGTGTCAATTTGTTATTGTTTCAGGTCGAATCTTCACCATATCACCAAACTCATGGTACCGATTTGGGCAGCGGCAATTTGGAAGTCCCAGCTCCAAATGCATCGCTGGGACAGCGTTCGTTATCACCATCCAGTGCCGTATCGGCTGAAACGATTAGCCATAGTTTGGGGTCTTCCAGAGCAAATTCCTTACCCCGACCCACCAGCCCGTCGCCATCAGTTGCCTCAGAAAAAACCGAGGTAGATCTTGTCGAGAAGCAGGAGCGCGAAGAAGAAGAGCGAAAAAGGAGAATACAGCTTTATGTTTTTATATCGAGATGCATAGCCTATCCGTTCAACGCCAAGCAGCCTACCGATATGACGAGGCGGCAAACTAAAATAACGAAACACCAGTTAGAAAGTATCATAAATAGATTTCAAGTAAGTAACTTACAATTGTTTTAATTTTGGTATCATAATTACGATTAAGAGTTATGCGGGAATCATCATTGGGGTTTATAATAATGACAAAGCACAAAATATCAAAATAATTTTAAACTGAAAACTTATTTTGGTGCGCCTTTTTTCCTGATATGAGAATGAGATTGAGCTCTAGATAACAGGAGATGTAACTACAAACAAATATCGTGCTGTCGTGAATAAGACATATTTTAAGTGACACAGGAGTGTATAATATCCGCTGTTGTCATGCTTATTTCATTATTTTCTTGATTAAATTATTTTGTAGGACCGTCAAATCCCTCAGTTTATCCCTTCCCATACCTCACACCACATGTCTCTTTATTCCTGATCTATAAGTGGACTGTATCGACTATGGTATTGACATCGGCATCACGAATATTATATATGAGTCGCTCAGAAGCATGGTGGCCTAAGTGCAAAATTAAAGTTTTGAGATAAAGGCAAATAAAAAATTGAGCATAAATTAAAACCAGTTTTTCAGTTTTAAAGTTCCATTTTATTTATAAGTATCATCTTCACTACTACTCATTTAATTTTCACCAAAGCTAAGAATCTCAAATTATTTCAGCGGAAATGGTGTAGAGATTGTAGAGAATATTTCAAAGTCATCTGAATATTAATATACCATTCGTTTTTTAAGTTTTATTTCTTTAGTCTCTGGCGCCCTGGATTATGCCTCCTATTATGCTCTGCATAGCATCGTTTCTGTTTGTCTGGAGATAATAGTAGTATTAGAGCTTACATTTTTAATTGTGAACATTACTTCACAAAACGTTTTTAATTAATGCTTGCAGTATTGTTTGCTTAATAATAATTATACTCTTCCATCATTCACCCTCTTACAAGTGAACTTCTTAAAACAGAGCTTGTGCGGGGAAGGGGCGGTTAACGGAAAACCCCCACCCACCATCATCGACAGGATACCCCACTTGAATTGAATCTGGAAGACATCCAGACGGGTATAAATGAAGTAATATCGCATGCATTTTTTCATTGATTTGAACCAAGAATATACTAAAATAGAAATATCATTATTGCGAGGTGGTTATTAATTAAAAAAAAGAAAGAACCAAATTATAATATCGAAAATAAAATAATAGTAAATGCAAATGAGAGACATAAAGAATACCTACATAGTTGATGTTTACTATTATAACATTTTTAGAACGTTGAATCTAAAATATATTATATAGTTCTTTTATACTCACGTCAGGATGCACCAAATATAATTAAAAAAATAATAAAAATAAAAAGCATGTCAAAGAAAAATGAAGTAATGTCATTTCACGGTTACGGTGAACTGTACTCGAAAACTTTACAATGGTAGATGAATGAAGGATCTTAGAAATGTATTCTAGTAATATCTGAGATTGGCGTCCTTCTATACGATGTTACAAGGGTAACTAAGGAGAATTGAGAGAGCCGAGAGGGGAGTGTGGTAACGAGAGCCGGAATCTGATTGCCTTCAAATCTACAAATTTTATTGCCGTAACCATGTGCTTCGATGGCCTAATTGGTAGAGGGGCCGACGGCTCTATTCGCATATAGGGCAAAACTATAAGGAGCAACAGAAAGAAAAATATTCATACAATGCGAGAATAAGAGAGAGAAAGCAGAAGAAGATGTTGGCTCTCATCCGTCGACTACGATACGAAAACAGAGTGGGATTTAAGGCGTGTTCGCTTTCTTAAAACTATCGCATTTCCTTCTGTTAGGGTCTATTTATACTCCCTTATTATTAGTATTTGCATTAGTATTATGATTAAAAATTAAGTTGAACCTTCACAATGTAATGGGTACATTTATACTTTACTTTAATTAATAGAATTTTTCAAACTGGAATATGTCCCTCACTCTTTAAGCAATCTATTGTAATTCCAGTTTACAAAAAAGGTGACCATAAACTGACTTCTAACTACAGACCGATTTCCTTAATTACTTGCTTAGCTAAAATATTTGAATCGGCTCTAAATAAAAGACTGAACAATTTTATAGATAGATACAACCTTATATCGAGTAATCAATATGGATTTAGAAAAAGTGTGTCTACAGTAGATGCTATAAAAACACTAACATCAAAAATCTATAATTTGGTAGATAAGAGTATTCCTACAATTACCATATTTTTAGACCTTGCCAAGGCATTTGACACTGTGTCACACGCTCAATTGTTAGATGTCTTGGATGATCTTGGTATCAGGGGTATACCACACAAATTAATGACAAGCTACCTTAAAGAAAGAACACAAACGGTAAAAACCAAGAATTGTTGCAGTTATGTTTTACATATTGAGTACGGGGTACCTCAGGGAACTATTTTAGGACCGTTGCTGTTTTCCTTATACGTAAATAGCCTACTCAATTTAGAAACATCTGGTGAGATATTATGTTTCGCTGACGATACTGCCATCATTTATAGCAGTAAAACATGGGATAATTTACAAAAAAAAATTGAAAATGATATGCAAAAAATTATGGAATGGTTTAATCACAACTTACTAACTGTTAATTTTGAAAAAACATTTTTTATTCCCTTTGCTGCTTACAATAACAGTATGCCCGATTATCAATTAATTACAATCAATATAAATAACAAGGATACAATAATAAAAAAAGCTAATGATATTAAGTATCTTGGCATTACGATAGATTGTAATTTAAAGTGGGACAAACATGTACAAAATATAACAAAAACACTAAGAAGTTTACTTTATAAATTTAAATGCTTAAGTACCATTTTAAGTGTTCATTACTTAAAAACTATTTATTATGCACTCGTTGAATCAAGGCTACAATATGGTATACTTGTATGGGGTGGGCTGTACCAAGTTCACTTAAAGAGTATGGAAATTCTCCAAAAACGATTTCTAAAATTATTATTAAGAAAACCTTTTCATTTTTCCACAGACCTACTTTTTCAGGAGGCCAATTTGCTTGATATTCGTCAGTTATATTGCCATGCAGTTTTAATTTTTACATATAAAAATAAGGAAATCATATTACATGAAATTGATCACATGTATGATACTCGTCAAAAATCGTCATTATTTGTTAAGACCCCGTTATTAAAAAAAACTATAGGACAAAGATGTTTTACCTTCTTAGCTCCTAAAATATACAATTTTCTGCCAGAAATCTATAAAATCCATATAAGAAAAATAAATTCCTTATCCTACATTAAAAAGATCTTCAAAATTTTTTTGATAAATACTGGTCGACAAAATATTCATGACTTAATTGAATTAAACTAAAACATCTAAATAAAAATTAAACCTAAAGTAATCTCTAAAAAAATAAAAATTAAAAAAAAACATCAAATTTAACCAAATTAGTGTAATCATTTTCATGCTTTCTTGTTGTCATCAAAAATTGTTCAATGCTTTTCATCTTTTTTTGTCATAATTTACAATTCGTTTGTTAATTCTACATTTCATATGTCAATGTGTGTTTTTACATGTTCTTGAAAATTCTGTTTTGTTATATTCTAATGCTTTTTCTTTTTATATAATTTTTTTAACTAATTATAATATTTATTAAGAACGCATTATTATTATTATTATTGTTATATTTATTTGTATTAAGTATTTAATTTAATAATATTAACTACTCTTATTATACTCATGTTCATATTATTAATTAATCATTAGTCTGCCAGCTAGTACAATTAATTATTATTATTCATGTATATTATTTATTATTATTATTAATGCACATATTTACATTTATTAATATTGTAATTACTATTGGTATGATTATTAATCTTAAGTCTATTGTTATAATTATTAATTTTTATCAGCAATTATGGCGCTACTAATAAACAGAAGTAATTTCCGAGCATAACCTTATGGTTTTCTCGGACTAACCCATGTTTATTTACATTAAAAGAGAATTTATTTGTAAAAAAAAAAGAAAATATATGTAAGAAGTAAAATAAACATTATTATTATTATTATTATTATTATTATTATACTTGATTTATGATTAGTATTAGCATTAATATTTATGCTTAATAATCGACAGGTTCAACTTTTAAATTAAATCTTAAATTTCTTCTTTTCTATCAAATAAATCAATGATGTATTTGGCATTTGTTTTTAATAGATAATGGATAATGACAACTGACAATACACATATGATTATGTCGTCAGATGTTGTTTATAGGTTTGGTTCAACAAGCTCGAAAACGATATTTTGGTACAAATCATGCGCATTTTTGTGTATCAGCAGTGTTTACCAAGTATAAAGTTGACAAATGACATGTCACCACGAGGAAGCAAAGGTCTCTTTTTGTATGATTTGTCTTAAATTTCTGCTTCTTTTTATGTGTTATAAATTTGAGACGTAAATCCGTTAAAATGACCTTAATTAAACCTATTTTTGAATATTTTGAAATAAAATTAACTAGTAAAAATATTATTGAAAATACGTTTAAAACTCAAATATCTTAAAAAAATATTCTAAGAACACAACTGGCCTCTTACATATTTCATCAGTAACCAACATTTTATTGACTGCAGAATTATATCTTATTAGGAAAAAGATTATTAAAAAAGAAGCACTAATGCTAATTATAAAACAAGTATAAATACCCTTTTTGAATATTTAGTCCAGTTTAATGCTTAATCATAATACTAATATAAATACTAATAATAAGGGAGTATTAATAGACCCTTAATCGGTAATAACCAAGAAAAACGTGCGCTGAATCTGTATAAAAAAATTAAATATATATTTAAATAGTAAATAAGTATGGATATTTATTACTTTATACAACTTGAACAGTTTCCATGTCTGAGAAGTATGGCATAATAAAGAAGTAAAAGAGGCATCGTGGTGGGATACTGTAATGATATAAGGATAAAGGGAAATGATGTAGAAATGACGCAGTGGCGCAAGTGGGGAAGGAAAATACACATGGCCAACGCCGATGGAGGTAAAAAGTCGATGTGATGGTGATTATTATTAAATTTTAGAAAAATACTTGTTTTATGACTATATATGGATGGAACTTGATTTCTAATATACTCCAAGTAACTCAAAATTACGCTAACCAAAATCCATTTTCGACTTCTTACCATCTACATAAAATTTACCTCAAATATTCCTTCGAAGCCACTTCAGTTCATTAATAAGATTAAATTAGTGGTAACGACACTGAAATCTTAGTCGAATGAAAGTTCTCTTACGTAATTTGAGGACTTTGATATAACACACAACTTGCGCCTAATTCGATAAAACCATACGCAATACCCAAAACTGATGAGGTGTACTTCCCAAAGCAATTTAGAGCCTAGAGTATCAAGTATTTAATTTTCCTAAAACTTTGAATGGTAAGCTTTTAACTGCAATCATTTTAGTTTCACCCGTTCATTAGTATTAAATTGTTTTACTGAAAACAACGCAATTTAACTAAAACAAACTTTCAGATTATTATTTACAATTCTCACAAACCCAAACTAGAATTTCAATTTTGATTTGCATGAATTTATTAAATCTAACTTAATGTTACATCTCCTTTAAACATACAGGGTTATTTAGAAGACAATATGGAGTAAAAGCCCTCATGTAGTTGGGTCTTAAAATCATTACAGATATGAAATGTAGTACTTAATGAATTAAATGTAGGAGCAGTGAAAACAACAGATTCTTTCAAGTCAACTGCAACTCGAACGAGATAGATTAGATTGGGAGTTATAAGTTGTTTGTCCTTATCCACCGCGATCTTTTTCGATCTATTGTGAGACTTCGTTTGTTTTAGAGTATGTCTCTAGTTTGGTCTTTTTTATTAGACTTAATAGCTTTGACAGTGGCTCCCGAATGTAGTTGCATGCGTTTGGCTTTTCTTCGCCCAATGTTAGAAACCTTATTCCAGCCAGGCCTTCACATTGGCACAGTACGTGGAATGATGTTTCCTCTTCTTCTTCACAGAACCTGCACAAAGTTGCTTCGTCTGCTGGATTGATGACACTCATGTGCCTTTTGAGGCGACAGTGTCCAGTAAGAAGGCCTACTGATATCCTAACCATTTAAAGCTTTTTATCTAGTAGGTCTTTCGTGAACTTGGCCGATGGTTCCTTGATGAACTGCTTGGTCTTTCTCAGTCTTGGATAGTTGTTCCACCATTCCTGAGATTATTTTTGCATCCATTGTTTAATAGACGCCTTGCACAATGCCTTAGCAACTCCACAGGAAGGTTCGGGGCCTGTCATGGCCTCATCTGAGCCTTCTTGGGCTAATTCGTCGGCCTTTTCGTTGCCCTGATATCCCTCATGGCCTGGAACCCAGGTTAGGGTCACCTTATTTTGACTACTTAGCTCTGCCAGGTCTTCTAGACAGTCTTTCACCAGTCGTGATTTGATTTTTGGTGAGAGAATTGCCTTTAGAGCTGCTTGGCTATCAGAGTATATGGCAATAGTTTTGCCTGATACTTGTTGATTTAATATTTCTCTTGTACAGTGTTGTATGGCTATTAGTCGAACAAGGTAAATAAGGAGGTAGAGAAATACTTGTTTAGCAATCTCGTATATTATACGGATGGATCCAAAACTATCAAGGGAACAGGCTCTGGCGTACATGGAGTTAAACCCAAATGCGACATCATCGTCTCATAGGAAAAACATACCACTGTATTTCAGGCAAAAATACATGCAATCGAGTTGTGAGAATTTAAAAAGGAAGTATAAAAAACAAACCATCTTAATTCTCTCAGATATCCAAGCAGTCTTAAAGGCCCTTGGTTCAAACAGACTCAAATCAAAGCTGGTCTGGAACTGCCTTGGGCTTCTAAATGACCTGGCAACCTACAATAAGGTAAAACTAGCGTGGGTACCAGGACACAAAAATATTCAAGGAATTGAAAAAGCTGATGAACTCTCAAAGAGGGATCAGAACTACCTTTGCAGGACCCGAGTCTGTATTTGGGATAAGCAAAAACTCTGCTCAGGCAGTGACAGGCAGTGAGCAGGTTAATAACCACAAAATACCAAACTCTCTGTGGCAACACATAAGAGGGCACAGAATCAGTAAGCTCATCTAACAGGACTAAACCCACGCATGGTTATTGAGGTACTACGACTCGCAAGGCCTCTGACCACACCTTCGTGTGATGGGATTACATAATTATCCCACCACGTGTAGACTGTACATGGAAGAGAAAGAAACCTCTTACCATGTGATCTTTGAATGCGAAGCTCTTGCTAGGTGACGCCTCACCCTTTTCGGCCTAGAACCGGGAAAAAAGCCCCAGGAACACTTGTTAAGAAACTTGGTAAATAACCAAAGGCACACTACTCCAAAAATAGTACCTGGATACGGGGAAAGCAGGGGAATACAATAGACCCAAGAGACCGCAGTGTTCTAGGCCAAAAAACCCTACCTGCTTATAACCGACAAAGATAATTGCTCCTAATTCTTTCTGATGCCACCCACTGTGTCCTTTTCAAAATAGGAAGTAATTTAGAAACATGATCTTATTACCATTTTTATTAATCCAAATAATAAATAAATAAATTAGTCTCATATCCAGTTTAGTTGTTAGTTAACGAAGCCTATCTCTTTTTTCCAAATGGGGAAATTTTTCCATTAATTCTATAACTTTTAAAGACATTAAAATATTCTAGTTTCTCTGTTTTATACTTGTAAAAAAATAAATTTTCCGATTTTTCTCGAGAACAAATGATACAAACCGCATCAAATTTTGGTAAAATAATACTAAAGGTTGTATACACATTCATAAATTTTTTCAAAAATTTTGGACGTGTAGATACTTTTTCCGGTGGTCCATATAAACCTTAAGGTGAGTACATCACCCCCTTATAGTTTTCGGACAAGCATATCTCAAAAAGTAATTTTTTTTAGAAGTTAAAATTTTGGCAAAATAAATTAGGCAATAATATCTAGAATATGCTTATATTTTGAAGTTTTAGTTATTTTCAGTTTCCAAGAAAAAAAATCAAAAGGCTTTAAATTTTAAAATATCATAATGAAAATAAATGCATTCCTCAACAGCAGTATTCTTAATATAATCTCTAAATTTAAGCTCTTAATCTTTTGTTAATTATTTTTTAAAATTCGCCGAAATTAGTGGCCAAAACGCCTCATTAAGTGCTGCTTTCTGGTGTAACGCGACTGTAACTATCATATCGTACACTCTGAGTCATCATTCGTTTATTGCAATGATTTATACCAATTTACACCAGTTTAAACCGGAAAATAGCACTTATCGAGGCGTTTTAGCCACTAATTTAGGCGAATTTTAAAAAATAATTAACAAGAGATTAAGAGCTTAAATTTGGGGATTATATTAAGAATACTGCTATTGAGGAATGCATTTATTTTCATTATGATATTTCAAAATTTAAAGCCCTTTGATTTTTTTCTTGGAAACTGAAAATAATTAAAACTTTAAAATATAAGCATATTCTAGATATTATTGTCTAATTTATTTTGCCAAAATTTTAACTTCTAAAAAAAATTACTTTTTGAGATATGCTTGTCCGAAAATTATAAGGGGTGCTGTACTCACCTTAAATAATCTTTACAAACATCATGCGAGGTGAGAATTTTTTTTAAGAAGATTTTGCTGTTTCCTTCAAATTATGCAAATTTCATTCGAGACAACAGTCGAGTGGTATTTTAAAGAGGATTTTGTTTCGTCAAATTTAAACAACAAAATGTTCTCAAAAAATTCTCACCCCTTGCGGTATTACCCTTGATAATTTTTAGAACCAACTGTAAAGTAACCTCCTGTATTTCAGATTTTATCGCCAAATGAGGAGAAAAATGTTGTGGCTGGCACATTATTTATCACCTACTTTTGTAAATGTTTGCCGTACTTCTAATTTTTCACCCCTAATATTAATATGCATGTAGACTTTAATTTCACTTGGGGTTTTTACACACTTTTTTATGACGCTTGTTTTTTTGTTGTTGCAGAGTTTTTTGAAAGGAGAAACGCAAATAATGGCCGACGAAGCCTTTCAGAACGCTGTACAGAATTATTTCGATGTTTTTTTGAAATCTGAAAGGGTCGTAAAAATGGTCCTATCTGGTGCTTGTTCGCAATATGATTTTAGAGAAGTTTTTAGGAATAATATAGAAAAACGAGTTAGGTGAGTAAGCTATTAGATATTTTTATATTTATTATTTTAATAAGTTAACTTTTTGAATCAAAAATTATTGAAACATACGAATAATAATTTTTTAAAGGGTAGATTTTAAAATATTTTAGTTATTATAAATTATCGCACTGTAAAACCAACACCATACATTTGAAATTAATTCGTTTGAAAATTTGATAGGAAATATTTCTTTTGGATTACCACTCTTATTGCTTGTTTTAAATTTATTTGTTATGCACTTTCTATTTAATCCCATACATTTTTTGCTATTTCACAACTTTTAAGACGGTGAGAACATTTTGCATAAAAGTTTGAATCACTCATACCATGTGAATAGTATTAAAACTAATCTATCTGTCAGATTTTTGTAAAATTGATGACATCAGAAATATGGCGGAAACTACCAGTATAATCACCGTAGCGAAAGTGTTGCCAACCTCTGAAAAGTCACTCTTCCGTCAAACCGCTCTCGTATAATTGTTGTTTTACATACAGATATGCCTTTTTTGCTGTGATATCGCAAGGTAAAAGCGATACAGCTTCTTTAAATGTCCAGTCAACACGTTTCTTTAGAGTTTTTTCTTTTCATTATCAATAAGTCCGTTTGGTTTTTAGTAAAAACATTTTTCTTGGCTTTTAGTCCTTTGTTTTGTCTGATTAGTCTCTGATATTTGCTTTAATAAAAATGTAATTGCTTTACTTGTGTAAACATATTGGCATTTTCTTTTTTATAATTTTAAAACCATCTTTAAGCTTATTATATTTATGCTCCCGGTAAACACTTTCAACAACACTGTTTTCACTTTCAATTGTTCTTCTTTCATTAACTCCTAAATGTGTGGAAATTTTAGTATATTCTTTTAAACATCATCCACTCTTATTTTTCATTTTTCTTTTTAAGATTCGACTTTCCCGTTATTTCTTTTTTAAAGTTTTATCTTCACTTTCATTATCCCAAGAATTAAAGTAGAGACTGCAGTTTTCTTTAATCGCCTCCTCAATGCCAAACCCAATTATCCAATAATTCATTATGTAGATCTCTTTCATAATCATTGCCGATATGGACAGAAAAAAATCTGGCTTGAAGTGGGTTGTGGGATCGGTACCAGCGAATCCACTCTTGTTTTATTTCGCGTGAAACAAAATGTTTCCCCAATGAAAAATCACGATAAATTATATCTGGGTTATCTAATTTTCTTTTTACACGGCTGTTGTTACAATTACTGACCATCGTCTGTCTGGTACATTCAAACCCTAAAAAAATAGTACTATAATTAAAAAACAAACATTTTTGCGAACTGTAGAACTTATCTATAATAAAAAGTAAAATACTCCTTATAAAAACACTTTAAAAAAGTCCAGTCAATTAAAAAGTTACATAAATACTAAAAACCATGTACAAATGTATAAACAACACAGGAATTTATAAATATCTGGTCCGGCAATGACGTAAAACAGTGAATTGTACATAGTATATTATGAGATTGGTTAATCCTAATAGAAAAGTTAAGTATCCTTGGTTTATACCACGTATAAATATGAAAGGTATGCCAAATATATGCTAGGATATAAAGGTTGACTTCTTTATAAACAACCAGAATCTCATTTTTATAAATTTCCACTTGAAATCCTCACTATTAGGTAACGAATCTGTAACAGTCCTTAAATCTTTTTTTTGTACTAGAAATATTAATTTTATTATAATAGGTGATGTCACCAAGTTCTATTTTGCCTGTCGAGAAGTTAACTTTACTTAAAACACACAAAGTTAATGCTTCGGCAGACAAAAAAGTCATTAGTATGTTTTGTATTCACGTAGATTTCCGACTATTTTATGGTCTACATATTAAGTCTTTCGAATTATTTGAATTTTGGCAAAATACATTTATAAATGTTTACTTTCCTTCACGTACTCCACTTTAGTAAAAAGCACGTGCATTTTAAGACTCTCCAAGAATAAAAAATAGTAATAATCTATAATTGATTCGAGTGTTTATAAAATAATATTGTTTATACATGATTATTTTGAGCTGCACATCAAATACAAAATATTTTTAAACACAATTTAAAACGAAGTAAACTGTTGACTATACAAGTAATTTTGCAGTCATTATTTAAATCTATTAACAATTTATAAACAATTGTATGGTTCTGGCATTACATTGAACCTTTTTTGGATGCATTTATGGTGGTTGAAAATCAATATCGTTACATCCGTCAACAAACTAACTGAGTTAATTAATATACACACAGTTAATCTGCTGATCTGAGGCAAAAATCATTGTGTTTAGTAAGTAGAACCAGATTGATGATGCCGAAAGGTCCAATGTCGTTTTCGTCGTTTTCTCAATATAGGGCATTCCTTGTTGACTTTTGTCTGACCTATATTCAGAACAGTCGAAGCAGTTATTTTGGAACAAAAAGTAAAAACTTTCCAACTCTATTAGACAGAGATGCAAGATAGATCAATAGTCATCTGGTCGGTATGTAATGCCAATGACACCAACCACGCTTTTCTGATGTAATCTTTCAGCAAAATAAGATCGACTTATGAATCGGAGACGTATGATGTTTGTTATTAGAAGGAAAAAATATCAATTGTTTTTTGATTAAAAAGTAAATTGTGTTGGGAATAGTGGAATTATACCCAGTTTCTCATCGCCTTTTTAATAAAAAATATTTTATGGCTCTAAAAATTCAATGCCTAGGGTTATTTTAGCGCAAGGATAAACTGAGGAAAAATGGGACTTTTAGAAGATTCTAAATTTTGTAACAGATTAGAAAGAAAATAAAATTATCTTGGTGGTAACCATAAATTGCTATAAGCTAATTATTAGGAGATATACAAGGCGTTTCCCATACTTAAGTACCGACACAAAACAGGTGCGTATTGGGCACCCCAAAACATTATAATTTAACGTAACTTACTCCCTAAGGAGTTACGGAGGCCCAAAGTAAGGCCACAAATTTTTAAAAATGTAATATCTCTTCAACCTTTCTAAGTATCTTGTTCATTATTTAGGAGCTTCATGAATCTTACTTTGGAGGTAAGAATTAATTGAAGAATTTTAAGGGGTGGTTTATGAGTAACTCACCCTTATAACTATACATAACTTTTGGGTCCAACTGCCAATTTTGAGAATAATAATTTGCTTTTCCTATCCAACTATTAGGGCACTGGAAATTTAAAAAGTCTCTAACGGCATGACTAAAACGAGGGAATGCTCCATCATGCATAAACCAATGATCCAGTCTAAGTTGCTCGGAAAGAATTGTAAATTTTCATTTAAGGCGATTGTAGCGAGTATATTATCATTTTGGAAGCATATTAATATGGGTCCACATAAACTCGCCTGGAGATAAGAAAGGTATTTACGAACTAAATTGCCTTACTTTAATCCCACCATTAAACTCGCCTGCAGACAAACTGGGGTCGTATAAGAGAAGTATTAAACTCGCCTTGAAAAGGATTGAAGCAAAATAATTATCGAATGCAATTTAAAAAAATAATTGATTTTAGAACATATTTCAATACAGTTATATATTATTTCTTAGGGATATTTTACTATGTACAGGGTGATTTGAAAAATTAATTTATTTTAGAACATATTAATCATATTAAACACTAATATAATATGTTTGACATAAAATTTGTAGATTGGTAAAACATGAAAAAATTATAATCTTACTCAATCTGTCACTTAAAAGTAAAAAATGCCCTTCCTTCGCTGTCTTGATGTTTGCTTTTTCGATAGCGTCGAAAGTTTCTTTCATACTTTTTGGTTGTGTTGGCAATATTTTTCTCCTGGCGTTGTAAAGATTAGTTCTAATATATGTTTGATCTTTCACTAAAATTGTTTCAAGACAGATTTTATTGGCAATTAACTTCTTGTGGATAATCTTTGATGGCTTTTCATGGAGATCTTCCGTGGCTTTTCTTTTCACACTAGCAGAGATGATTTGTCGATTCGTTTTCTTCGAATCGATCTTATGGGTATGATTTATATCTTTCTTGACAATCAAATACTTCCAATTGTGTATAGTTTAGCTTTAAAGGTACGATGTGAACAGCGCCATGATGTTTCACCACTTTTTAATACACCATTTTCAACAAAACTGGCAAACTCCACAATTAAGGAAATTTTTGACCATGTTGTCGACCCTGTATAGAGTTGCAAAATCACCAAGTTTTAATTCATTCGGTATTTTAAACATGAAAATATTTGCATAGTTTATTTCAGAAACAACCTAAGTTACATTTTGGGAATTTTGAGTTTATTACGCCAACATGTATTTTTGGATATAACCCACAATTTAATTCAAAAAGAAGTTAAGTCCCGTAAACATCGGTGCGACTTAGGTTGTTTCTGAAATAAACGACTCATTTATGTATTTGTAGGCCCATGTTTGAGAAATGAATTGGCAATTTAGGCCCTAGTACCATATGTCACAATACGAATTTATTTTGAACCTAGTTTAGCCATTAAGTCATCTCAGAAACATCATTTTTTAAAACTCTGTCATGTTTACGAAGGAACTACAGAAACTCTAAGTAGTTGAAAAAGTAATAGGGTCATTAGTGATCAAAAATGCATTATTCGGATCCTTTATTTTAAGCAGTACATAGAACCGGAGCAAAATTACCCTTTATGGTGTTCTTGCATAATAGGTCTTGGTTAACGCATAGGGCTATTATCTTGACGCTGTGGACTATAAAAGCGTCCATATTAAATAGCTATTATTTACGTTTTCCCTCAAGTATATCGTACGTTTCGCAAATATTGTGTTTTATAACTTCGCCCTTAAAAGGGAGCAATAGTAAGGATCGTTAAAATGAGGGAAATAGAAATTCTCTTTTACTAAAAATGAAATGAAGATTGATTAAATTATATAAAAGGATACTAGAAAGATACATAAATAAATAGGTTATTGGTTCAATAGATAGCCGTATGTATCACATAAAGAGTACATATGCACTTAATAAAGCAGCT